TTCTACAAGCTGAAGAGATTTCTGTTAGAAAAAACTTGTACTATTTGGAGCAAAAAGGTTGTAGATGAAAATTCTCCCTGAAGTCTTAAGAATGGAGTACATTTGTAGATGCTTCCTGATTTTGCTTTTTCTTTTGTGGAAGTCTTTGATGCAAGGACAATTTCACATGGTATCCCAGTGATTCATTTAAATGGTAGGTCTTGTTGACTTGGTCATGGCCACATGACACAAATACAATTATTTTAGTATACTTAATGATTGCATAGGATCCAAAAGTGGCACAGGATAGTGCCCAGTTCAATAGTAGATTTTAGAGGTTTTGCCATTGGTACTTTAATATACTTAACTGTAAAATTTCCTTTTAACACTATTTTGTATTTTGGAAATAGAAAGGGGTGTTTATTTTCATTTTCAGTCTACGTCCTCCTGAAATTTCTATGTTTAAAAAAAATAAATTACACAAACCTTTTTAGTCTAAATACTATTTTAAATCCTTTATGTCTGTACCTTAATAATTTAGAAGAAAAATTTCAAAACCTACTTTTTTTGTATAGGTCTTCAGGTATAAAATGTTTGCTTCAGAGAAAAACTGTATCTTCAGGTATAAAATGTTTGCTTCAGAGAAAAACTGTATCATTATATACATTATATTATATATTAAACTGTATCCCTTCTGCACTGTGATGACTTCTTTCTTACAGCAGAAACCTATGAAAGCTCTGAAAAGGTAGACCTGCTTGATTGGGATTTGCTAATAGTTTACATGCTGGATTTAATTTGAATAAGTTTCATGATGAACTTCTGGTTGCCTGTTTGTCCTTTGATATCCAGATCCCTTACAGCTGCACCATTTTGTAAGTTCTATATATTACCTTTTTAAAAACTACCAAGTAGCCATATTACCTGTATTTTGATTTACATATCTTTGGGAATGTAACTTTCAGTTCTTCCACCTTGACTACTGCATTCTAAGTTACCCTGAAAATTACATAGTGCACAGGCTTCAAATGTGTGTGGTTACAGTTGGGAAATCAAGAGGGTTTAGAAGCTCTATAATTACTAACTCTAGGTTTATGTGGGTGCAGTCCTTCCGATCCACCACATCATGGTGTTCTCTTGTCGCTGCTGCAGTTCTGAGTACCATATCTGCATGAAGATACATAGGAAACTGTGTGCGCATAATTAAAAAAAATCCAGCACATCACGAAGAGATCTTTAAACCAGTAACATGAGATCTGCTGACCTTTCTGAGAGAAATGTGATGGGGCTTTGCTTGAACAGATGTCTAGCTACGAAATGGGAGCATGACACCATCAGTCATTTTTAGCAAATGTAATGCCACTGACTCTTCTGGCTAGGGTTTGTGACTGTGATCAGTGGAAGCGTCTGGGTGGTAGAATGTTTTGGGAAGGTTTTTTTTACATGTACTAGGCAACAGTTTATATATTTGCTCAGTTACAGAAATGATGCAATAGGCAGGCAAAAGGATGTGAGTAATTTATTTTTTCTGAACAATCTTAACCTTATTTACGGTAGTTTTAGAATGTAAGTAGCATTGTGTATCAAACTAAGGATAAGTGATGGGAGCATAAAATGTTATACTTTCTAAATTATCCACAAAAGCCTTTAAAAATATTCAGTTGGCTGCTTATCCCCAAAGGAGCACCCAGAGAGCAGTCCCCAAAGCTCTTTTGGCAGGAAGGATAGGGTTCACATTTAAGTAATGTATTAAGGTATTGTGAGTACCATAATTAACTCCACTAATATTATGCTGAAATAGATTTATATTCTTGGTTGACTTATGTCATAGTCAGGCACTCCACATTCATCATCTACATCACTTCATGTGACTTCTTTTTCCCTTTTTATCTTTAAATGTGGCCACTGGAAAACTAATTTCTCTGGAGTATGCATCATTGTGTGTCTGTTTCCTTTTGATCTAATGCAGGCTTAATAGTTATTTCTGTTTTTACAGGGCCATGAGATAACCTCTCTGTGTACCTACATTTTATGTTGTACATAAAATGTACATATGGTACATACACAAAAGGTACATATGATGTACCTCTTTTCTTTCTCACTCCCTCTTCACTGGGATCTGTTGTTTCCCCTTTGTTCTAACCCTCTGGACTGTGGGTAACACTGCGATATAAGTCAGCTCAGGGTAAAAAGACAGAAAAGATAGACATCACCAGGGCTGGTAGTTGTTGGGAGGTGTGAACAAGAAGAGGCAGCATGTGCATCTGGGGGTCACACTGAAGATCAGCAAGCTGACTTTCTTACACCTCTAATTGCCTAGGATCAGAATAAGGTTTCAAAATAGTGACTGGTGTTCCTTGTAAAATAGAAAATTGTAGCTGCTGTAGAACTGACAAAGGTGTCTTACCGTTTCTTGTGGCCTAGAAGCAGCCACCAAGTACTCCTTTGTGGAGCTCACTAGGGGGTTTCCAAAGTTTTGATGCAGATTGCACCTGCACATCCACTCCTTTTGCTTGTCTTCTTGTCTAGTCCATGCACCACATGTGGACCACAAGGCCAAAGCATATAGCAATGCATTTTATCTGCACTGCAGCTCATACTTTCAACAACTTGGCTAAAGAAAGCATCACTATGACCAAGCAAGGCAACTGCAGGGAATTTTCTGTGTAAATGTGCACTTTTTCTTCATAATTTGCAATTTTTAAAAATTTTTACTAGTTAAAATTGTGCCTTTGTTATAGCTCCTTGTCTTTAATCTATATTGTCTTTATATTAGTGGTTAACATAGCTGAAAATAGTTTGCATTTTTATTGTACTTTATGCTTTCATCTTTCCCCCCTCTGTTTTTGCTATTAGCTAGAATTGTTGAAGTGAGTATCTAGAGTTCTCCTAGGTACTTCAAAGCTCTACTTTGATAGCAGGCATCAGGCCTGTTCATTTTTGCTTTGTGCTTCCACAAAGTTCTACTTTGATTGTCAACAATTTTAAATAAAAAGTAGGAGTAAAAGTCTGTAAAAGGATTTTTTGTTCAGAGCACTGTCATAATAGTAGTTTTCAGTACCGGAATAAATGGGCAGCTCTTAAAAGACTTATTATTAATGCTGAAGAATGGTTTACAGAAGCTGGAAGCAGTGTCTCTGTAGGGGGAGTAGCCTATCAATAAAAATTGCAGCTCCCGGAGGCCAAAACCCTTGTACAATACTTTTCTGAAAGTATTATCAGAGATAATGGAAATTGAAATCTCTACTGTGTGTGGGAGGCAAACAGAAGGCTCTGTGTAACATTGCTCATCCCTCCAGCTGGGTTCCTGCAGTGATCTCTGTGAGTTATGGTTTTATTTGCATCCTCTGTCACAGGCAAATATCTGCATTCAGTGTCTTGCATGGCTGGGAATTGGCAAAAGTCACCTAGTCCAAGACACAGGGTTCTTATCCTGTGCATTTCAGGTGCGCTGCTTTAAATAGTTCATTGGTTTTTTTCCTCAAAGGGGAGGAAAAAACCCTCACCCTGACTATTAGTGTTTATTAATGTAGGAGGAAATCACACCACTGCAACACCATGTATACAATGACACCATATATACTATAACACAGTCAGGAGTAGGGCACCAGTTTTGGGGTTTGGGCTTTAATGAGCCTTACCCTGTGGCTGGAACCGCCGTTCCATGTGGGTCGCAGTGCTCCAGGCAGTGTGGCTGTGTCCTGGCTGTGTCCCTGCGTCCCTCCTGTCCCTGGCTGGTCCCCACCACCTTGTGGCAAACAAGGACAGCTGGGAGGCAAGGAAGGGTCTCTGCAGAGCATTTTTGACTGAAATTGTGCCTTTTTACAAAAACGAGGCTGCAGAGACCGTGTGTGGCTGATAGGAGTTGGGAGTTTGATCTGACCATCTGTGTGTCCCCTTATGGCTGTGCTCCAATGCATGTACAGTATTTTTTTCATAATGTAGGTTTTTATTTATCTTGTAATTCAATCTACCTGTGACAAAATGTTTACTATTAATGCAGAGATGGATTACACATGTAATGGGTTATGTATCTCAGAGTTGCTCATGGCTGGCTTGCATTCACTCTGATCAAAGCTGTGCGTACTCAGCAGTGCACTATGCGAAAAATAACTCAATAAAGCTGGTGTAGAATATACTTCAGATTCTCAGTGTTTGCATGGTGGTTCGTCCATTCTTTGTACCAGTTTGACTTGACATTGACTGGCCTGCTTATGTCTTTATTATTATTTGTTGTTTCATAAAACAGCTTTGTTGTAGATGCTTTGTTTACTCCACAAAGGTATATAATGTGACCATTTAAGCTCAATATTGGATAAAGTTATCAGTCCCAAATGTGATAGACACATATGCTGTCCCATGGTTTTTTGAAAATTCTTTGGTACAGGTTTTTTTAGGGGGATTGTTAGTTTATGAAAAGTACTGAACAGTCATAGGATAAGCTTTAGAAACAGTCCTTTCAATATAATAGAAAAACCAAAATTCAGTAGGAAAATTAATGTAAACAGCAAGACTTCAAGAGCAATTTCTTTTTTTTTAGGTTGGGTAGCAATTTCATCATCATAGTTTGCAGAGCAAGATAAAAAAGAGAAAAAAAAAAAAGCACAAGAATTATAGGCATAAAATGAAATGCATTAATATGTGTGGCCATCTTGTGGCAATGAAAAGTACTGTGGTATTTTTTTTAAAGAAAAAATAATTTTAATAATCAAGTTTGGGGGCAGTTGCTTGATTTAGATGACAACTGTGCCTTAAACTCAATGTCTTCATATGACCAGAATGAATAAGCAGTCATTTTTGTATGTACTGAAAGCTGCTACTACTGAACAGATTATTTTTTTTTTTAGTTAAAACAATCAAATTAGCTCAATATAAAATACGAAGAAAGAAGCACACGTGTCTCTAACATGGCAGCAGCCATTGGATTGCCAGAGGCTAAGGCTTTACATGATGTTTTCAACCAGTTTCAACTTCCATATGAGCTGTAAACAAAGTCAGATATTTTTGTTTGTTTTACTCAGCTGGAAAGTCACCGATTCCAGTCAAGACTACAGACTCAGAATAAATCAGTGCATTTCAGAAGCACTGATGAATTTATTTGCATTTCTTCAAGAAATGTCCCACTTTAAGGAACAAAACCCTGGCAAGGTAAGCACTCCCCAATAAGATTACCAATTCTATATGATTTAATAAGAAGGTGAGATAGATTTAGAAAAAAAACAAGTGAACAAGCGGAAAAAAAGAAAAAGAAAATGTACATTCTGACACATTCAGTCATGAGTTTCTGATAACTTTTTTTTTTTTTGCTGTAGAGTATGGGTAGGTAGTCAGTGTGCTGTTCACAGTGAGCTTTATAGAAATACAGTCCTTCCCCATACAGCTGTTGGAACTTCACCGGTTATTCCATGGATTTTTTAAAGGAAATTTAAAACACCACAATTTAATAAAAACTTGAAAAAGCAAAGAAGTAAATGGGCATGTTCCTAAACACAAAAATGTGGGGTTTTTTCTCAAATAACTGTAGTTTTCAGGAATAGCTGCATGAAGAGAACTCCTCTTAGTTTACTGTGGCAATTTTTCTTCAATATGCTAATAGTTGGTGATTTTCCCTTTTTCTACTGGAAAGACTGAGCTAGAGAACCCAGTTCATGAAGAGACAAGCAAGAGTAAGGCATTTTTTCCTCCGAGTTCAAAGAATATAATTATTTAGTTCTAGTCAAAAGTGAAGCAGTTGTTTTTTTTTTCCAAAGAGAAATATAAATAATGTAAACATATATTATGATAATAATATATTACATTTTTATATTTGTATTGCCAAAAGCAAGTTAAAAGAAGACTATAAGGCTTTTTCTCCTCTTTTAATCTCTCTTAATTTTGCCAGAAAGTCTTCCCTGAAAACAGGCCATTCAGAATTAGCAAATAGAAAGTATATAGTGCCACACTCAAATATCAGTTTAGACTGAACACACAGATGAGCAAGTGGATGAAAAAATGAAAATAGAAAAGATAATTTTGATAGCGTGTTTTCCCTTCTTTTCCCTGATTGATAGCGTGTTTTCCCTTCTTTTCCCTGACCTCATTCTCTAAGCCATTTCATTATTTTACTGCTATAATTAGAAGCACATTAGGCAGTAATGCTGTGTGCAAAATTTCTTTGAATTAACTATTTTATTGCAATTCAGCTCCAAAAGCAGATAGATCCTTTCTGCAAATTTTCAACAGATCAGTTGAGCACTGTGCAGCTGTGAAAGGTGCACTGCTATACTTCAGTCACCACAAAGGCGAAATCTCAAATTTTATATTGAAAATTCGGCTCAGTCTTGTCAGTAACAGGGATGCTAGAGCAGCCAACAAGCATGAAGAGATTGCTTACTAGCATATGAGAGAAAACAGTTTCACAAAGTAGCACAACAGGGGAGAGAGCTGTAGCAGGAGGAAGGATGTTTTGCTTTTGTAAGCATGCAGCAAGCGTGCATTGTAATATTGCAATTAGTGAGTTGGGTTTTTTCCTGCATATAAACTGTTCAGTCTATTTGCACGCAATGAGGGAATAATTTCTAATAATTTTAGCAATAAACATGAGCTCATTAAAACTTTACAGTAAGTGAATAAAAAATAGCATGTTTGTATGGTAGAAGAAGGGATGCATCCTAATTATCCAAAATGGACTGTTTGATGCTTATTTACACCAAAAGTGTTAAAAGTATTTCCCAGTTTTAAAAAACAAACTTCAATGTTGCACTGCATTCTGGATTTAATTAGCATGCAACATCTTTCTTTTGCAAAATGATCTGATCATTTAAGTGAAAGTGTTAATGGTGAATTTTAATGTTTTTGTCAGTTTTGCCTTCTAGTCTGCAGCATATGTACATTTTTCACTGTCTTGGGAAGTTACATTCCTGGAGTTGTCCTCTCCTATGTCTTGTGTAAGTATGGTCTCTTTCCCAGTCATGATTTGTATATGTGTGTACTGTTCATTATTTGGTCTCTCTGTAGGGGCTATTTATGTTTTTATTTATTTACCCATTTATACACTCCTGGAAGTTCGCAGAAGACGCCAATCTCTGTGGTGCAGTTGTGGGTGCCATCCACAAGGACTTTAACATGCTCAAGAGAACCTCATGAGGTTTAACTAGACCAAGTGCAAGGTGCTGCTCCTGATATCAACCCAGGCTGGGGGATGAACAGGTGGAGAGCAGCCCTGCCCAGAAGGACTCGGGGTGCTGGGGGATGAGAGGCTGGACATGACCCAGCCATGTGCACTCACAGCCCAGAAACCAAACATGTTCTGGGCTGCATCCAAAGCAGGGTGGGCAGCAAGGGAGGGAGGGGATTCTGTCCCTCTGCTTTGCTCTGCTCAGCTCTGCTCTGCTCTGCTCTGCTCTGCTCTGCTCTGCTCTGCTCTGCTCTGGTGAGACTCCACCTGGAGTGCCGGGGGGTCCCCAGCACAGGAATGACATGGTCCTGTTGAGTCCAAAGGAGGGACATGTAGATTTTCAGAGGGCCCTAGAACCTCTCCTATGAAGACAGGCTGAATAAGTTGGAGATGTTCAGCCTGGAGAAGAGAACACTCTGGGGAGAGGCCTTTCCTAAAGAGGGCTTATAAGAAAGCTGGGAGCAAACATTTGAGCAGTGCCTGTTGAAATATCACAAGAGGTAATGGTTTTAAACTGAAGGAGGGTCAATTTAGGTTAGATATAAAGAAAAAATTTCTTACAATTTTTTGTCACATGAAAGTCAGCTTGCAAGCTTTTTCAGTGTGTTGATTCTGGCACAATGCAGCATAGTCATGTTTGTCAAGCTGAGATATCAAAATCAGGCTAAGTCAAGGTAATGATAAATGTTATAATGACCATAAATCATGTCTTACTGATAGTAAAAAATATGTCAATCGATATGAATATAATGGTATTTCCTGTGATGAGTAGGAATGGCTCCTGAAAACTGAATTTTACCTTAAAAGTATCTGACTTGGGCATTTCACAATGCATTTTTATGTAAAACTAACTATGTTACATAAAATTAGTAGTTATCTTATGCAAAGGCATTGTTTAAGCTTTATTGAGTAACTTCTTGTACAGCAATATTTCAATACAATTTTTTCTCTGTCTTCATTTTTTATCACAGTATTGTGTGCCTTTTTATGTCCTTTCCTTAAGTGCAATGAGTTTGGACAAAAACTGTGCAGCAAAATAAAGGCAGTTCTGATGAAACTAGATTTTGGAATAGTGGAATATATCAACCAGAAGAAAAAAGAGAGATCTGGTGAGTAGTTAATTACAGTCCCATATATTATTGTATTTCTGTATGCAGAGCATTTTATTCACCTTGCAGAAAGTTTGGTTTGTCCTGAGAAGCTGTAGGAGCTTTCTTTGCATTTCTTTGAACCTGGCTACTGTTATTAGCTTTATAAGAAGTGACAGTGTATGTCAAATGTCTGGGTATGATAATAAAGAAATTATTACTTCATGGAAAGAAACAAGGCAAACTCTTTGTATGTGATTAGATGCACTCCTTATAAGTTTTCAGAAAAAAACTACTTGATGTAAGCTTGCAATGCTTATCTCTCTTTAGATAAGGCAAACTTGCCCAGCAGAAAGACCTGCTCAAAAGTCTCAAAATAAGTATGTAAAAGAATTTTCAGTAAGAGACCAAACTCTGTTCCTATATCTAAATGTGCCTTGGTTTCACTTCCTCCAGCAAAAAGAATTTGTTTTCTTCTCCAAATACTCCAAAAGCATATAAGAATTGCCACAGGAGAGCAACTGCAAATTAATCCAAGTTTCTGCATGGAAAGGGGAGAAATCAATTTAAAACAAAATCTCACCTATCTCACCTAAAATCTTTCTAATAATGGAAACTTTTAGATTTTAAGCAATAAAGCTATTTCAAGGAAAATCTGTATATGAACAGTGTTTATTCTTTGTGCTTGTTCCAGTTTTGGTAATTAAATCTTTGCAGTGTAGTCACACTTCTTGCAGGTAGCCTACCCTTTTTAATTAGTGCTATATCAGTAGACTTAATATCTGCCTTAAAACATGCATTTCTTGTAACCTGTATACAATTCATTATACAATGTGCTGTTCCTAGACCCAAGGAGAACCACCATGTGTCTTTCCCCCTTCTCTTACATGTAATGTGATAGTAATTGGAAATAAGGAATAAAGCACTGGAAATTTTCTTCCATGCATTATTCTGCTTGTTCAGTTTTAAATGAAACTGGGAGAGAAAAAGATCAGACTGTAATTTAATAAACTTGGTAAGCCAGCCCCGGGAAAAAGGTTGAGGTTAGATGCGTTCTTTCCTGCATCTCATCCTCCAGTTTAATTTAACCCAGACAAGTTCCCTACCTCGCTTTGCCTCTTGGTTTCCCCACATGGGCTCAAAAACCTTGTGTTGGCACAAGGAAAAGAGAAAGTTGCAGGAAGAAGCAACCAAGAACACTATGACTGTGCTTTTCATTTTATGTTGGTTTAAAAGATTCTCAGACAGAGAAGGCAAAATTTGTGTCTCTGCTTCTCTGTAAAGAGCAATATTCTACCAGACTTCAGAGGATGCTTTGTATGCATATTTGCACGTGACTATGAATGCAGGGTAGCTGTATGTTGGTAGAAGGGGTTTGAGAATGAAGATTACATGCAATTATCAAGAAACACAGCCTGTTCTAACACATTACACCTGTGCATTTTACCAGCAGTTTAGTCTAAAAGGGAGATATGTATTGCCAGGGCAGATGAGCAACAGAGACTCCTGAAGGAATTACAATGCAGGTAAATAGACCTACTGGAATGTATTCAGAATAACATTCTTGCTCTCACTTTGGTTACTAGTTTATTCACATAAATGATGCACTGTGTCAGCAGGTGGAAGTTTACTCTGCTACACAAGCTGTGTGACAGAGAACACACGCTGAACCTGGAAATCCGTTGTCATGAGTAGGATAAAAAATATATCTTTTTTCTTTCAGAAACAGCAAAAACAAAACCCACAGAAGATGACAGTGAATTAGACATATCAGCTCTGTGTCCAAAGGTGACTTTTTTCAGTCAGCCCTGTCTTGCTTTTAAAATATCTATATAGATAATGGGAGGCTATCTAGACTGCTGTCTCTGGTCTTCTGTGGAAGACTTTAACCTCCCCAGGAGGCTGTGTTCCTGAACTAAGCAATATGCTATAGAAGTGATCCATAGTCTCCATCTTTAGCCTTATACTAATCAACCTACTGCATTTGTGACTTCTGGCCTTCAAGGTAATGGTTTCATTGGCCTACTGAGCTAAGAATGTGTTTATTTTGTATTGGCTGTGGAATGATTACATTAATATTTAAAAACAAAGGTGGTTACTTTTATTTCCAACAGTGAAATTGCAGTTGATTTTTATCAAATTAAAATACAAAAGGGAAACATTAATAGAAAACCTATGTAATTTGTTGGATATTTTTGTAATCGCTTGTCTAATAATTTTCAGTGATGGTGCAAACAGGTATATTATCTATAAAATCTTTCTAGATATGTATGAGAACACTCAAATTTCTCATTTTTCTCCTAGTATTCTAAATGATTGTATGGCAAAGGTTCTTCTGTTAGAATAGCAGTTGATATTAAAAAAATCATCTTAATAGGAATTATTATGCAATATTTGATCAGTAGTGTATAAAGCCTGACTTTGACAGTGATTGCTTTGGAGGTAGTTTTGTGCTGGGGGGGAAAAAAACCCAAAAAAATATATCCCATGGGATAAAAATTTGTAGTGGAAATAACTAAATATTGTTCAGTAAATTGGTAAAGGATAATATTTTTTTGTTCAGCTAATTTTTGATGGTCTTACAGCTATTGGGCTGGTTTTTCTAGTCCACATTTACTCCTTTTGTTACATTATGCATATTTTGTATTTGCAGGCTCATTTTGCTTTCATTATAGTAGGATTTCTTTCAAAATTAATAACTGGAATTTTCTGTGCTTCTTTAGTATAATACAGCCTTTAGTTATTACAAAGAGGGATGCTTCACTTCTAAGCATTGTATAGTATTTTCATGTTTCTTCAATTAAGGCTTAAATAGGAGGTGATTTATGTTGCTATGACATACAAGAGGAATTTTTTTTCAGTCTCTAAGCACTGTCTTTCTGAAGTGTGATTTTTTTTTTTAATGTAAGAATTCCATGTATGGGACTGTTTTCTGTGTAGGTTAGTCCTGCAATTGTTGCCAAAGAGCTGTCAGTGTCTGACACAGATGTCTCAGAAGTATCCTGGACCGATAATGGGACCTTTAACTTATCTGAGGGGTATTCTCCACAGACAGACACATCTGATGGTAAGTAACAGCTTCATCTGTATCATCAGTGGATTCCAGACATGCAAGTTACCTCAAAATGATTAGATAGTTTGAGGACAGAAGGTTTCGGGGTTCTTACTTTTCTCTCTTAAACAAATTTAAGGTTAATCTTAGTGTTTTGTATAATTTTGGATACATCTTGTGTAAGAACAGTCCTCATCTTAAAAATGTTAAAGTACATCAGCAAGTGTCTAAATAAGTAAGTAGTGCTGTGTATAACCAGCACATTCAACAAGTGCTAGATGTAGCACTCTCTTCTACCAAACCTTTTAGGCAAGTAAACCTTTTAAAATTACTACCAGTGCTTTTGTGGGTAAGTTAAGCAAAATACTGAGGAAGAAACAGTAAATACACTGACTTGTTAAATAGCCAATAAAAGGCACTGTTATTAGCTTTTACTACTAGAAATGAAGACAGCCAGCAATGAGCCTATGAAGACCTAGACTAGGAAAAGATTCTTAAGCACTTGACTTGATCTTGACCAGAAACAAGTTCTTACTTTTTACAGACCAAGCTATCAGAAAACACTTTGCTGAAATAAAGATTAAGGACAACAGTAGTTTGGTGTAATCTCACCTGTGGGTCTGTTGCTCTGCTCGTCTTGCATGTCTCCTAGGAAAACTTCCTTGTAAATGACAAGCAGGATGATACTACAGGCCAAATTAATGATTTCTGGTTTTTTCCTAATATTTCAAGTTGTAAATAGACAGCATTGCATGATCACAGAACTGTAAGCTGTAAAAAGCAATTGTCATTCATCTCACCTATCTTCCTATCCAAAGCAAGTTCAAAGCTCTTTATTCACACTTTTTGAAGTTTCTCAGGGCTGTGACCACTTGAATTCTGAACACCTTTAGTAGCAGAGATTCAGCAACTTCCCTGGAAAGCCTTTCTCAGTATTTTCTTAACTTCATGATGAAAAGGTTTTTTTCTTATAGTGAGTCAAAATTTCTCATGTTCCAGTTTGTGTCAGTTTACTCTGATCCTTTCACTGTGCACTTTCTAGAAGAGTCAGGCCCATCTTCTCTCTACCTTCCTATTCAGTAGTTAAACTGATTTCCCCTTTGCCACCTTCTCTTGGGGCCAAATGAAGCCCATTCTCTCAGCATCTATATGCATCCTGTTCTCTAACCCCCTAAATAATCATGCTGACCCACCAGGGGATTCAGCCCTGTATACCATTGTCTCTCTAGAACTGGAGAGGTCAAAACTGGGCAAAATAGTTCAATGTGTACTCTCAATTGCTGAATAGAGGAGGAAAATCCCTTCCATTGACTTTCTGCCTTCAATTCTGCTACTATAGCTCAGTGTGTGGTTGGCCTTCCTTGCTGCAAGGACATACCACTGACTTGCTACCCACAGATCTTTTTCTGGAAAGCTGCTTTCTGTCTTGTTGCCCCCAGCCTGTACTGCTGCACAGGTTATTCCATCCCAGATGCAAGCCTTCACATTTGCTTTTATTGAATGCCATGATGTTCCTTTTCAGCCTGTCCCTTTCTCCAGCCTGTTGAAGTCCCTCTGAAGGCATCCTGACCTCCAGAATATCAAATTCACCTGCCCCACAGCAATTCCTTTCTGCCCATGAACTTGCAGAGTGCACTGCAGCCCGTCATCCAAGTCATTAATAAAAACCTTGAACGATGCTGGTGTCTGTCACAGGTTTCAGTCCCTGTGACAGACACCAATAACCAGCCTCCAGCTGCACCTTGTGTCGCTGATGAAGCCTTTGACCCCTGCAGTCTGGCCACTTTTCCACCCACCTTACAGTTCCCGTACCCTGTTTGTTCATCAGCTTGGCTGTAAGGATCATGTGGGAAAGTCTATTCAAAGCCTTGCTAAGTGAAAAATTACACCATTCACTCTTCTTCCCCATGGAGCATTTCAGCAAATGGGACATAGACAACAGTGCAAGACCAAATGGGATGCATCCGAGGACTGCCTCATCTCCTGTCAACGCTCTATGCATTTCAGTCACCATTCTGCATGCAGCACAACCCTTCCTCCTCATCTTCGCAGCCTGTCTTTCCTAAAGAAAATGGAGAAAATGACCTATGAGTCATTTTTAGGATTTATTTCCTTACCCTTTATCAGTGTTCTTATAACAAGCTCCTATTGCTTGTTTTCATAGAAAGTAAGTTCAAACTGATTACTTTTTACTTTCTCATTCAAATACTTGATGAAAGTACTTGCTTGTGCTTATTTAGGCCTCTCCCACAGGCCATGTTCTCCACGGTACGTTTTACACTTTTCTAATAACAAATACTGTGTCATTCATTAATGCAGCCATTAAAATTTAATGTTTGATTACATCCTGCTTTTTATCCTCTTGAAAACAATTCTGATCATCTGTAGAGTTTCCATTTTCTGTTTCCTTTTTAATACAAGCATTGGCCAAGAAAGGAAAAGGAAATTAGTCTTTATATTAGTTTTATATCTTTATTTAAACAGATAAACATTCTTTTTATTATTCCATATACATGTTAAAAGCTTGTAACACATCCTTACATGTTTACATATTTGTAGTTTATATATATTGTGAAGAAAAATAAATTTTAGGACTTCATGTGGCTGGTATATTTAGAAATAGCCGTGCTGAAGATTTGCATGGGTTGTTTCATTACATACCTAAAAATGTTAGCTTTAAAAGTTAGCTTTAAAAAGTTATTTTCTTGAAATAGTTAAGGTGATACCAGTTGATTTGTAGTGCTAGATTTATGACCTCAAAACCATTTTGTCACATAAAGCTCCTTCTAGTAGAGAACTACTATAGTAGGGATTAGTAAATGTATTCAGAGGAACACTTGCTCCTTGCATTTTTACATGTGGCTGCCTTTTTGGGAAACCTTTTGTGAGTGCTAACACTGTTTTCTTCTGTTAACCCTGTAATAGATTTTGACCGACCTAGTGATCATGAAGAAGCTTTCGCTAGAGATCTTTTAGAATTCCCCTCTTTAGAAAATGGTGCCGGCACAAATGATGACGATGACTCAAGCATCGGTTTGCCCACCCAGCAAAAACGAAGGAAAGAGCAAACTGATGTGAAGGCGGATCACAGACAGAGTAAAGAGAGACCATCCACTGCAGGGTTGTCCTTGCCTTTGACCACTGACCAAACCTTTAATTTAATGAGTGGAATTGCTGGCGATGTCATCACAGCTGCAGTGTCTGCTGCCATCAAAGACCAGCTGCAGTCCCTACAGCAAGTTCCCTCTCAGGCAGTGCCCAGTTTGAGCGAGGAGACAGACACAGAGGAAGCTGATGACTTTGAACTGCTTGACCAGTCTGAGCTAGAGCAGATTGAGAAAGAATTGGGACTTTCACAAAGTCAAGAAGCAGAATCCCAGGAAAAGAAAAAGTCTTCAGGCTTCCTTTCAAATCTGCTTGGAAGTCATTAACCTGGAATTTGCAGCTGGTAACACAGAAGAAATTCAACAAAAAAAAAAAAAAAAAAAAAAAAAAAAAAAGAAAAAAAAAGAAAAGAAGAAAATTCTGAGCTGTAAGCTTTAACTATCCCTTTAGATGTGTTGTAATAATTTCCCTTATGCAGAGTGAATTAACTGGATAAATATCAGCTAATACTGATAGTTTAATGTTTCTGGTAGTAATACCTCAATGTAATAGCATGGAAATGAATTATCTATCCACTGTTTGGTTGCAGATGCGTGGTGGAAGTCAGTTGTTCTAAACAGTTGGGGGAGAAGTTTCTTTAATCTTTTTGCCAACCATGCATTTTGGGGTCCTGAGCCAAATTTTCAGTATAGGCAGTTTATTTACTCTAGTTTTCCAATCATGTAATACAATTAATGACTCATATTGTGAGGGCAAGTTGTCAGAGGGCTGCAGTGAGATTAACTGCATCTCATCTTCTTCAGTTCTACCAAAGAGTGTGAGTCCCTGCAGTTAGCATTATGTGTAGTGCATCTACTATATATGAAACACATTAACTGGCACAACTCGAGTTTAAATATGTGTGCAACACTATAAAAACCCCTAGATTTCATACGTAAAACCTTTGAATTATTTTGGATATGGTGATGCATTTCCAAGTTTTTTGCTGTTATAGGCTTGTAGAGTTGTAAAGTGGCATGTTATATGACTGACCACCTGCTGTGTTCCTTGATGGAGTCTGGTCCTTGGCAGTATTGCCCATGTGAAGTCAGCCAGTGAATCTTTATGTTTTAAAGTTAATGTTGTGTAAACTGAACAACCTTTTGGGAGCAGGTGAGGGTAATTATTGTTTGGAGTAGAGATTAGAGATTAAAAAAAAGGATAAAGGTTTTTTATGTGCCACTTCCTTAATGTGAGATTCTGTAGATTTTGGTTTGGCTTTTTTTCCCACGATAGCTACTTCCACTTGGTACAAAAGTTGTGTTGCAACTGATTATTTTAAGATACTTAGAAGCATTGGGTGAGGTCAGTTGCTAGAGAAGACACTCAGAATCTTCTTCTTGGCATGTAATTTAAAACAAAAAAAGAACTTGTTTAAATTATTTGCCAGTTTAAGTCCACACATGCTAAGTGAGTGGCATGGGATCTCAAGCAGATAACTTATTTTTCTAGGGCTTTTTTGTTCACCTGTGAAAGAACTGCATTGCAATACCAAGCAATAGTAATCCAAGAAATAGGATGAAATAAAGCTAGTTTTTTTAATGTGATGTAAACCATTAGCAAAGTTGAGGGACCATGTCAGCTGCTACTACTACTCAAGTAAACTTCCATTTGCTGGCATTTGAAGAGGTAAATACTGTCATCTAGGACCCTCAAAAAGTACAGCAACAGATTATAAAAATCTTCCACTAACATATATGTATAGGTAAACCTGTGTTTGAAATTAACTTCATTTTGTATTTTTTTTTCCTTTTGAGGTGGGAAAACAGGCAGATGGCCAAAAAGAGTACAGCAAAAGGAAGGATGCTGAGATTTTTTGACACTAGCTCTATTGCTGCTTGTGCTTTTTGTGTCAGTAATGCATATTGACGGTGTTTGCTGTCCTTTACCAGTAAAAGGGTAAGCCTGTGCCTTCATTATCCAATACATAAGTGGATGCTGGATATAGATCTCACAAGATGCAGCTTTCAAAATTACAATATCTCAACACCTGAGTTTCTGGAAATCGCTAGAAAACATGGCCCATATCACTTCCACAGTATTAGTTGCTAAGTTTCTTCTTTAGCTTTCACCAGCCTGTTCTTCTCATTTGGAAAAAAAACAAATAAACAAAAACATCAAATACCCAAACAAAATTTAAAAAAGCTTTTGTTGGAAAATCAGTGAGTTTAAAAAGTTCTCAGATGACTTAAAAGCCTCATTTCCTTGCCACATGTTTAGGACAATCGGTACAGTTAAAAGAGTACAAATCCAAGTTGCTGATGAAGCTTTGTAGGATGCCCAAATAACTGTGTGCTTCCTTCTCCAGGATTACTGGTGGCAGAAGGGGAAACAGGCTGTGAGACAGGGAGAGGCGGGAGGGAGGGAAGGAGGGAGCAGTCCTTCACAGGCTTTTCTGGAGCAGATTGGCAGGACAGACTAGCTAGCTGGCTGTCAGTAGTGGCATTGTAAAAGTGTGCACTTTATTGTTGTTTTATGAAAAATAATTGTGGTTATAAAAGTATCTAATACAGGGGCACTATTCTAGAATAAGAGATCAGAAAGAAAAGCAGTTGGAGGAGTTTCTCAGGCTTTTGTAAATTACCCACTTTCTGGTTTCAAGATAGGTAAATAGATTGATTTTTCTCCAGTATGAGTCTCTTTTTTTTTTTTTTTTTTTTTTTTTTTTTCTTTTTTTTTTAAAACTTCTTTTTCAGAAGGAAAAACGAACCAAAACTTGAACAAGTAAATCATTAAAGTTAGGGACATAGTTGCTTATCTGAGTGTCTTTAGAATTTTTTTTTCTGCTGTCATGGTGGTCAATTGTACTCAAGGCCCTAAATACTGTGTAATGGGAAGGATGTAATTCTGTAACATTTAATATTCTTCCTCAGGTAGTGAAAGATGTCTAATTTTCTGCAGGAAATTAGCTCTTCCCTTCCACACAACCACATGTAAGAAACACTTTGCTTGGACACAATACATTCCACTGCCAGCAGTTCGCCAGCAAAACACAAAGAAAATGTCTCTGTCCTTTGTGGATCCCTTCCACACTGTCCTCAGTTGGAAATCCCTTGAGAAAACTTCATTTTGCTGTATTATAGCCGCAGCCATGAAATAACAGTTCCTTAAAAATTCCTATTGCAATGGTCCACAGTGTCTTTCCTACCGAGCACCGTCGTCACCTTCCCATCCTTCAAACAATGCATGGGCAGGAAGACAGGCAAGGGGGTATAAGGCAGCACATAGCTTTGAAACGTGCAGTTTTTCCATGGAAAGCCTGCTTGTGTGTGATTTTCCAGTCAAAAGGCACACGGGCAGCGTAGAGGGTGTAGTGTGAGCCAATGCCGTGGGGTAACGGCGTGTGATCCTGCCCTGGGATCAGTACTGCTTGTGTTGTGTGTGTGCTCGTACCTGGCAGCAAAGGGCTCACCCTCCTGTGCCTTGCAGTGGCTTCTTCACGCATCCTGATGGAAGAAAAGGACATACATCAGGGCAGGGATCCAGGTCACTCTTTTGTACATGGAAAATTTCCCCTTGTTTCAGTCCATGTGAGTGACAGGATCACCATCTGATTGGTGGCCTTAGGTCATCCAATGCAAAAGCACATGGAGTTTCCATGAGTACGTACCACACACCTACTGACCATTCTCCTGTTTGTTAGTGGAGAAAAACACTATGCAGAGGAGATTAAACAATTGTAACCCAAAGTAACAGGATCTGAAGAGATACTCGTTCTACTTGTTCTGTGTTCGTTCTGCACTTTTCCCAGGCTGTTCCAGCCTTCTGAACAAGTCCCTGTAGTCTCCACGTTTGTTCTCAGCACATGAGCGGCGTCACAGTCTGTGAGTAACCTCCACCCGAGCAACCAGAAACTGGAGAATTACAAGATGTCCGTATTTAAGTATTCTGCAGCACTTTACCTGCCTGATCACTGTTTTGTAAACATGGAACTATTATATTGATTGTTTTAATAAATATGTGTTAGTTTTTATCTTTCATCAACTCATTGTGTGTTTGCTCCCAGAAATGAAAAAAAACCCCCTATAACAACAAACAGGGTGACCTTATCGCTCTCTAATTACCTGAAAGGAGGTTCTAGCCGGGTGGGTTTGGCCTCTTCCCCCAGGTAACCAGTGATAGGACAAGAAGACACTCGTAAGCTGCAGCAGGGAAGGTTTAGGTTGGACATGAGGAAGAGTTTCTTCACGGAAAAGGTGGCTGGATACTGGATTGGGCTGCCCAGGCAGGTGGTGGAGTTACCGTCCTAGCAAAGACTGGATGTGGCACTTAGCGCCATGGTCTAGATGACAGGCTGGTGTTCGGCCATAGGTTGGGCTTGATGATCTAAGACAGCTCTTCCAACCTAATTGATTCTGTGAAAAATCAAACAAACAGAGCAAAGACAAAACAACAAACAAAGCCCAACCCCCGGAGGACAGGCCGCCGCAGCCCTCAGGCGGCGCTCCCGCCGCTCCCTGCCC